CTCACCTGGTAGCTGGAGGGTTTCTGCTGCTGCAGCTTCTTCAGGCAGAGGCCAAAGAAGGAGAAGATGATGCAAGAGAGGAGGACCACGAAGGTGAAGAGTGTGACAGGGCGCATGGGACCTAGAGCACAGAGACACTGGGGCAGCACATGAGCCTCCAAGGACCTGTTGCACACTCACCTGAGACCCAGGCTGGCACCTGCTTTGGGTCTTACAAGCTGTCAACACTCTTCCCAAAGCACGAGCTGACACCCTGCTCATTTGCAAGGTCTTCACCACACCTTCATCCCCCTTCCCACCCTCCACGCCATGCCTAACTCAGGGGTGACACCGGCAGCTCGTCCCTCCCCAGCGTCAGATGTGACCCTCAGCAGTGGGGAGGGGCAGCCCTGAGCTCTCCCTACCGAGGCGCAGGACGGAGAAGAAGAGCAGCCAGAACATGCAGAGGATCGGGGCCACCACGACCTGGCTGATGGCAGCGACGTGGAGGCGCTGGTTCAGCTTGGTGGGGATGTACACATAGTAGATGTTGTACCGGTCGACCATGTGCTTGAGCAGCATGTAGAGCAATCCTGGTGGGAGCAGAGGGGCCATTTGGAGGGAGGACAATGGGTACAGCCGGGCCACAGGGACAGCAGGGCAGGCCCAGGAGATGACGCCCAAAGGTGCCCTCTTATACACAGGGGCATGGGATCGTACTCACCAAAGGGGACAATAATGGGGCAGGTGATGCTGTAGGTCATGACAACGGAGAAGATGCAACAGGTCCAGGCGTACTCCAGCCCAAACTGAAACTGGTAGGCTTGGCTCTGGGGCACAACCAAGAGCGCTGTTACTGCCTCCGCCGCTGCGAAAGCTGCCCTTGCCTTTGCACCCTGGCCTGCACGACTGCCTCCTCCTGTTAGTCCCACGGGGCCAGGGCCAGCAGCCCCCCTTGCACGGTGGCTTGTCCCCACAAGCCTCCCCAAAGGACGAGGACAGCCTCAGTTTCCAGCAAGCAAGCCCCCATGATGCTGGGGGTTGCACAGGCTCGGAGGCGACCAGAGCCACGTACCCGCTTGACATGGAGCCGCTCGGGCTCGGACTTGGCAAAGCAGAGGCGGGCGGTGTAGACGAGGAGGCCCGGGATGCGCAGCAGCTCCATGGCTGTCCCTATCAGGCTGGAGGTGACCACGTAGTTGACAAAGAAAGCGCCGTTGTCCGGGAGCTCCCCCTCGCCTGGGAGCTCCCTGCTATTCACTGGAACTTGATATCAGCCTCATCCAGAAAGTGGGTGTCAAAGAGCCAGCGGAAAAAAAGGTCCAGGCTGGAGGGGGAGAGGAGGAGCAGCTCAGAAAGACGGGGAGCTGCAGAGCAACATGGGCGGCACCACTGGGCATGTGCTTTCCCCTGCCCCAGGCTGATGAAACCCTCTGGCCCTACACCGCCAGAGCAGCCCCTTCTGCCACATGGGACCACCACGGTGTGGGCAATTGCCCCCATGGCCAGTCAGGCTTCCCGGAGGCAGGACGATGCAGATACCTGACATGGTCCTTTCAGGATCTGCTGCAGGGTTGACCCCCCCCAACCAAGGCACCCTTGGGTCATCTGTGGCAGCCTGGTGAGCTGCACCACTTCCCTCCTCCTCCTCAGGGAAGCTGTCTGTCCATGACCATCTGGGAGCAGCTCAGCCCAGCTAAACAGCAACTGTTTTCCTCCCCAGAGCCTGGTTTCAGCAGTGGTGGTGGGCCCTCAGCCCTCTGGGGCTGGCTCGTGGGAGGCGAGGGGCCCTGGTTTGATCCTGGCTGCCAGGGAGGAGGCAGAGCAGCATGGTAGGGTGGTCTGTACCTGCTCAGCCCCAGAGAGGGCAGGATGATGACCATGAACACCAGGAAGAAGAAGCACTTGTGCATGGTAAGCTGATTTTCACTCGACCTGGGAAGAGAGGAGACAAGAGCAGAACGTTGAACTTTTCCAAGGCAAAGAAGATGGCTGATACAGGTCTCACTCTTCACCAAGGAGCTACTCCCAGCCCTGGGAAGCCACATAAATTTGATCTGTGCATCTACTGGGGCCTTACAAAGCCTCTCCCAGGCCAGGGCACGTCACCATGAGGAAACCTGCTATAGTGAAAGCTCTTGTCCTCCCAGCCTCTCATCTCCTTCACCTCAGGCCTCTCCTACCATCCCTGCTGCCTCTTGCTGGGTGTCCACACTGGGTCCAGGAGCCAGGGATGAACCTCCTGCCCTTGGGCAAAGGAAGGGAGGTGGTCACAAGGCTCCTGCAAGGACTCAGCAAACCAGGCACAGGGGCTGGGGTTGGCAGAGGGTCAAGACAGAGAGCACATTCTAGGAGCTAGACAGAGCTTCCTCTGCTAGAAAACTTGGAGCATCCGTAACCCGTACCTCCGCCCCAAGGGCTGGGAGCATGGCTGGGATCTGCTGCCTGAGTAAGGGCCACCATGGCCCTGCTGCTGCCAGTCCAGGAGGGCCAGTGTTCAGGGCTATGGCAAGGCAAGAGCTCCTTCAGGCATGGACTTGGGGCTCTTTCCATGGAGGGCAGCACCCATGGCACTCTGTGGGGCTCTGCCTCTCCACAGCCTGCCTCCCTGCATGCCAGGTCCCACGAGTCCTGCTAAGGTTCCTCCCATCTAAAGCATCCCTGTGGGAGTGCCGGGGCCAGCCCTGTTACCTCGTCCAGTGTGACTCGAAGAACGCCGAGTAGTAGACAAGGAAGGGCAGGAAGACGGAGAAGGCCCAGAGCAGCAGCGTGGGGAAGAACTGGGTGATGATGGGGTTCTGCAGGAGGAGAAATGCCGGACACTCCCTCAGGAGCCCGTCGGAGCTCAGCCATGCTGGAGGCAGCTGGGACCTCCTGGCACAGGATGATGTGTGCAATGGGCGGGATGGAGCATCCCGTCCCTGAGTAGAGGTGTTTGTTTCAGGAGAAAAGAGCTCAAGGCCAGCCAAAGACATCACAGGCACGGTCTGAGCCGCAGTTCCTGCCCAACAGCTCACAGGTCAATGAGCAGGAAGGAAATGTGCTGCTGGCAGCTCCTAACATCTCCTGGAACTCTTCCCACCCTTCTCCTCTTGCATGGACACCAACCTGCCCTCCCCCATGGATACCAGCACCAAAGGTCAGGTTTGCACAGGTGCCCCAAGGCTCTTCCACTGGAAACACAATAAGAAGGGGATGGATGGCAAGCAGGAGCATGACCACTCCTTGACTCTCATCAATGCCCATCTCAGTGATGTTTCGTCTTCTTGGGCCAGTGTAGAGCTGGTGGCCTCCCCTGTCAGACAAGCCTGGAAATGAAGACCCTCTGGGAAAGCTGGCACAGGGCCCCCAGGGACTACCTTGAGGCTCTCAACAGGCTGTGTGACGTTGAACATGTCCACAGTGTTGACGATGATGGCTGGTGTGGTAAGGAAGAACAGAAGGATGAAGAGGCAGATATTAAGGAGGATGAATCGCACCCACCAGGATGTGCCACGGACCGATAAATTCTCCCTGTGAGAGAAAAGCACGACTCAAGACATGGTGTGGAGGAAAAGCCATGTGTCCTGGGCTTCCCAGCCCAGCTCCGCGAAGCTCTGCCTCCCACTCCCCACACCAATCATCCTGGCAACCGTTGCTCTAAGCTCACCCTCTCCCCTTCCCCGTGTTGCTGTGCTGACACATGAAGAGCCCCCAGGACCCAAGAATGGTGGCATGGGGGGTCCCTACCACCAGGAGGCTTTGGAGTCAGGCTGGCGAAACTGGAGCCTGGCAATCACCCCAAACTTCACATGGCCAAGCCCTGCCGCCCATCACCCCTGCTGACTTCTGCTATGGCCACAGCAGGTCCTGTCAGCCCCTGCCATCCTGGGAAAGTGCCCTGTAGATATGGGAACAGGTTCCCTATAGCTACATGGGCTCCCTATAGCTATGGGCATGGGCTCCCTACAGGTATGGGCACAAGTCTCCCCCGACTGCTTGCCCCCTCCCTTCCTCCCACCATGAGGGTTCACCAGATGATATCGCTGGGTGCAGGAGCATAGCAAACACCCCACTGGTGTGACCTGACCACAGTGGTGACAGAAGACTGCTGGGGGTGCTTGCGGCAGAGGATGTGGCTGTAGTCCTTCAAAATCCTGCAGGAGGAGGGAAACAGGGCTCAGGTCCAGACCAAGGGCTCAGGATTGCCCTCACACTTCTTGTGAGACCTTTCCCGCAGCCCCAACAGAGCGGCCACCTCTGCAGATGGCAGAGGCACAGAGGAGACAGGCCCATCGCCTGGCTTTGGCTGGAGCAGCTGGTGAGATGCCCCAGTTCTTTAGCGCGGCGGCCGCCAGGCTGTGGGACGTCCCCGTGCCCATTGCATGAGGGGCACTCACACAGCCGTCATCCGCTCGTCCTGGAAGGTGACGAAAGCCATGTTGAGCCGCTTGAGCGTGATGCGGTTGCGCTCGGCATTGAACTCGTCCGTGAGCTTCTCCTCCAGCTCCCCGTAGGCAGCCCTGCCTGCACCCTCCTTCCTGCTCAAAGCCACAGAAGTGGCAGCAGAAGATGCGGGCACAGGGGTGGGTTTTGATCATGATCTTCCCCTCTTTCTGTGCCTTGGTGGTGAAGTAAAGCCGCCCCTTCATTGCCTTGCGCCTGCCGGGAAGCCGACAGGGATGAGGGTCATTCAGGGAGTGGCAGACAGACAGACAGACAGAGTTCCTCGACATGGTGGGCAGGAGCAGTGCACCCACCTGCAGAGGCAATGGGGATCTGCACACACTCACCTCTCCGCATCCAGCTTCATCAGCTTGCGCACGTCGAAGCAGAACTGGACGTTGGTGACGGTGCAGCTGGGATAAGCCTCGCTGCAGGCACAAGGGCACAGTGGCACCGGGAGCCAGGGGACAGGCACAGCCCCTGCCACCCACCCGCCAGCCGCCCGGCGAGGCTGCGGCACACCGCTACTCACTGGAAATGCTTGATGATAAGGGAAGGGTCTGTGATCTCCTTGGGGATGTGGGTAACCATCAGCGTCCGGGCGACCTGGGGGAGGAGAGCAGAGAGGGCGGCTGGGCAGGGGGTATTTGGGACATCTCGCTGCCGCCCTGCTCACCCCCTTACTGGGAGGGCAGAAGCAAGATGGGGCACCGACTGCCACCCCGCAGGCTGGCCAGCACTGACTGCCTCAATGCCCGCTCCTAGACCCCGGCAGGGCTGCCACCTCCCAGACGGACGGACAGTAGAGCTTCAATCTCAAGAGACGAGGCAGCAAGAAAGGAAGATTTGCCTCCAGGCTGCCAGGCTTTCTCCAGAAGCTGGAGAAAACCAGTGTTATCTTTCCCTGCCTGCCCAGTCCCAGGCTGTTTCTAAAGCTCTCCCTGGCCAGGACCATCCTTTCTGCAAAGCACAAAGTTGTCCACTAACGCTGATCAAGGCAGGGCTAGAGGAGGGGCGGTTGCTCACCTTCTCATTCTCTCTGTATTCAAGGTGGACAGAGTGGTGAGCCATGCAGAGGATGGTGAGGATGAAATAGATGAGGGCGAAGATGCTGTGCAGCCACAGCAGACGGTCCCTGGAGGAGGCGAAGAGGGGATCAGTGGGTGCTGCAGGTCACCAGCCTGGTGCTCGGCGTCTCACTGCTGCTGCCCATGCCTCCCAGCAGGACCTTGCTGAGCTGGCTGCAGGACCCGCACCCCGCAGGGACAAGGGTGGCAGTGTCCAGGGTGTTGGGGGAAACGAGGCCTCCCCACGCCCCCGAGAGCACCGCTGCCCACAGTGGGGTGCAGCGAGCAGCAGCAGCGGGCTGGCCGTCACGGTGGTGCTTTTGTGTGGTGCAGACGGACACGGGGGCTATCGCAAGCAGCGTGCTGCTCACGTGGACCCATCCCCGTCCACGGCGTGGGACCCTGGCGAGCACCATGCCTGTGCACTCCCAGCAGTGCCCACCACAGTCCCCCTCGGACGCGGGAGCCACGTACTGTGTTGGGATGTTGGCGATGGTTGTCCGGCCGAAGTGGGTGGGATTGTGCCCTGCAGGGGAAGAGGGGAAGCAAGACATTATGGGAACCCAGTGCAGTGCATGTGTCCGTGCTCCCTGCTCCCTCCTTTTCCGTCCCCCAGGTCCCCACCAAGCCCCCGCTGCGCTGTCTCTTGCATTCCTCTGTCCCACAGAAGATGGTGTGTTCCTGCTCACATGGGAGCTCCTGACAGAGGGGTCCTTCTGCCCGCCATCCCCAGGGTATGGTGCATGCCTCGAGGCTGGGGAAGCTTGTGCCATGCTGCTGAGCCATCCCACACCTAGGCAAGAACATACCCAGGAGGTCCCCCGAGAAGTTGACGGGCAGGATGACGGCCACGGAGAGCACGCAGACCAGCATCAGCAGGACCAGGAGGTGCCGCTGGAAGGAGAGGTAGGTGGTGGCATCGATCCCACACTTGCTTTGAATCTCCTCGTCCCTGGGGAAGAGACGGGTGAGGGTAAGCAGTGGTGGTGCCTCCCCACCACCTCCCACCTCGGGGACACTGGCTGCTCCGGCCTCACATAACCCACACCAACTCACGGCATCCTGCCTGTGGCACGTGGGATTTGGGCACAGGGAGAATGAGGGACACAAGCAGCGCTCAGGCTGCCATCCCATTACAGGACCAGCTCCTGCCAGAAGAGGTTGAAGCCCTCTTGTCTGGGAGAGGAGCCAGGGGACAGGAGGAAATGCAGAGGTGAACCCTCTGCTCTCTCTCCTGACAGGATCGTTTAGGAGGGCTCTCCTCTGCCGCTGGTCCCGGCAGCTCCAGGTGCCTGCAGGCCCCCACACCCCGGGGGGGGGCCGCGGCAGGGCATGGCTGTGATGCTGAGGGCACACACTTACTTCATCTGGTAGATAGAAATGAGCCAGGAGCAGAATCCCTGGAAAGAAAGACAGTCGGGATGAGCTGGGGGCAACCACCCCCACCTCCCCAGGGCTCGGCAGGTGCTGGAGATGTGTGTGGAGGTGGTGCGGTGCCTGGGGCCAGGGGGCTGAGCAAACGGAGGCAGCACCCGGTGTCGCACGCCCAGGGATGCCCAGACCAGTGGACTGTCTGCAGCGGTGGCCAAAGACAGCTGCCTTGGGAAGAGCAGGAAACATGGAGCGTTTCTGTAACACAGGCTCCCAGCTCCCAGCTGCTCCCTCCTCTGCACCCTCTCTGACAGTCCCTAGCAGGCGATGCACTTTTTGGACCACTACCGAGCACTGAGCCGGCACTGCTGTAGAGCGATTTAGGACAACACCAAGATCTTGTGTGATAGCTCATTCTCTGTCACTGCATACACAATATTAGAGTTTTTCTCTCTATGCATTATGTTACATGTTACTATCGCTAGAGTTCCTGCAAGTTCAAGGTCCCTCTGCAGTTATGCCCTGTCATGACTGTACCAAACAACACTCGGCCACCGGGCCCTTCCTCTTTGCCCCTCTTCAGGAGGGTTTATGCTGAGCTTGGATGGGAGGGACCCCAGGCTGACCCCTGTGGGGTTCCCTTACCCTGCCATGCGAGAACTGGCACCTTCGTCCTCCTTTCCATTCCCCAGCTTTACCCAAGCCAGGCCCTTCCCTCCTGCCCCACTGCTCAGCTTCGTCTGACTGACCGCAAAGAGAGGCTTTGGAGGTGCAAGCTCCCCCAAGCGCCCGACAGCTCCGCAGGGCCGGACACCCCCTTAGCACAGCCGGGCTGACTCGCCCCCTACACCCCGCTCGGAGTCCTGCTCTGGACAGCCTTGTCTGGGAGGTTGCCCTTCAGACCTCAAGCTCCCTGGGCTGTAATTTCTTGGGTTTTCAAGAAACCCTCCTGAAAAACCAGCATGTATCAGCTGATTTCCAGCTCTCTAGGATGCCCACATGCAGGAACGAGGTCACACGCTGCAATCAATAGCTTGGCTATTTGTTTTGGGGTGAGTGAGAAGTCTCACACCTGCTCCTGGGAATTTGTGATGGTAACGGGAATTCAGCAGGCTGCTTTTATTGCAACCTCATCCTCCCACCCCACTGCCAGAGGGATGCTCTGCTGTTTCTCTGCAGAGAATGACTCCCGGGCAGGAATTTGGTTGAGCTTCTCCTCACTGGATACAGCCACCAAAATTTTATTTAGCTTTCCTGCCACACTCTCGCCTTCTCCAGCAAACATTTTCTATCTTCAACACCTATTGGCCCTGCAAACACTCTGGCAGGTTTGCTGTTCCTCATGTGTGAAGAAAAACCTAGTACTTGCTTCTACACTGTCTACAAATTTCTCCTCAAACTCCTCTTCCTCACTCCCTTAGTGTATTTTACATCTAACCTGGCAGAGTTTAGATTTTCCTCATTTGGGAACAGCTTGATTTATAAAAGGATGTCTTCTTACTTCTAATAATCTCCCTTAATCTGTTCTTTAGCCGTGCTGGCATTCCCTGTGGTCTTTCTCACTCACTTATTTTTTGATGAGCAATACATATTTGCCCAGTGCATCCAGTACCGAGCCTTTACACAGGCCTTCTGCCACCTGCAAGGATTTTGCTTCTTTACCTTTCCTGCCTAGTTTTTTTTCAGTAAGTTCTGTCGTTTTTTCCTAGTCATACCAGTGACTGATTTTTGAGTTTTTGTTGCCAAAAAAGAGAAAGAAACAGACAGCAAAGCATGTCGGTCTGTGCTTGTTTCCAGTGAAGCCTGGTTTGTGCCTGATGCCATAGAGAGAAACAAAAGATGATTTTAAAGCCCCTGCAGCCCGCCACGCTGGCAGAGATGGAAGTGGGATCCAAGAGACTCTGTCCTGCCGGGCCAGAAAGGTCCCTGAGGGCACAGAAAGCAAGGCTCTGGCCATGCATCCGACTAGGTCCCCGCAGCTGGCAGGGACCATCACGCACCCAGCAGATGCTCACCCTGGTGGGAGCAGCCCCTCCGAGCTGTCACTGGGGATAGATGCCTCAAACCAAGCCAGGACAAATAAACCCTCCAGCTTTCCCAGGAATACCCTGCTGCTAAAGGGTGTTAAGCAGGAAACCCCATGTTGGAGGAAGTAATTTCTCCCATTTAACTTCTGACCTGGGTTTCCGGTGAAGAGCAGCCACTGCCACGACTGCCAGCACTCACCACGTCCTTGTTGTCGGTGTCCAGGGGGCTGCTCTCTGACGGGGACTTCTCCTTCTCGCTCTGCTCTCCATAGAAAAGCGACGTCAAACTTTGCAGGGAGGGGAGGAGTGGAGGGGTGAGGCAGGAGAGAAGCAACAGATGGGAGAAGATGAGCACCTTCGGAGCAGCTTCTCCTAGGAGAGCAGCCTGGGAAATGCCTCCCCACTCTGTGCATCCTGCATTGGGGCTGGACCAGCAGCTGTGGCCAGGCTCAGGGTAGGGACCGCACCAATGGGTCCCCATGGATTCTCCGTGGCCCTGGCCCATGGCAGGGTGGCTGGCGGAGAATTGGCCTTAGCTCCAGGATAAGGGCCTGCTGAATTGGATTTTTATATTCCACTGGTTTCAGCCCTCAAATGGCATTACAGTGACAGGAATGTGATCGGTGTTTGAATTTTAAGTCTTGGTTGCCCTTTTGATCTCCCCAGTGAAGGGAAACATTGCCTGTCCATTGTCAGACTCAGCTCCAGAACCCGAGCCCAAGAGGAGCTGGAGAGAGGACAAGATGCTCTGCTGCCTGGGGCAAGTCATGCTCTGGCTGGCAGGCAGCTGCTGGCAGCACAGCCCACCTGGAAATCTGGTCTGGGCTCTACTTTCACTGTGACACCAGTATTTTTTTGAGGGATTCTGCACCTAGCCCAAAGCATAGGCCAGGCAAGCTTCCCTGCTGACATGAGGAACAGCGTTACTGCTGCATGTCTCCTGCCTCCTCTGCCAGCCAGCCCTGCTCATCCCCAGAGAGCGGCAGGGCGAGAGGCAGCGGCTCAGTCCCCACTCGAAAGCAGCTCTTGGGTCTCTGTCCTTCCCAGCACAGTGCCCTCTCCGGCACTGAGAGCTCCATCACCAGATGGTGCCTGCAGGAGGGAATCAAAGCTGGGCCTGCTTTCCCTCTCCCTGCAGCAGCCAGTGCCTATGCCCCCATGGGCCAGGGAAGCCAGGCCACTCCCAACAGGAAGGAGGGACAGGGCACCTGCTGAGCTTCTTCATGGGCCACCCCACAGTGCTAGCCCTCCTGCCAGCCCTCTTGGAGAGGCCGGAGCCATCACCCACAGGGACCTTGTCCTGCTTACCTATCATTGTCCATCAGCAGCGCCAGGCGCCCATAGTCCCAAGCTGCTTTCCGAAGGCAGGAGAAGACCAGGAGGAGAAGCTGGAAGAAGAGGGAAGAGGAGAGGTACAGGGTTTTGCCGTAGGGTCTCATCCCATGGGGTCTCACCACATCTCTCCTGTTATCCCACTCATGAGCCCAAGATCATGCAAAACTCTTGGTTCAAGCCAAACTACTCTTGCTCCACGATCTCCCCACTGCTGCCCAAGTGCCACCTCCTGCACACCATGATGCGGGCAAAGCTCTTGGACCCTGGCACCCAAGTCCGTTCCCCCAAATAGCCGGGCACACTGACGCACATGCTGCACACACGTGTGGCTGTCACCACACCCGTAATCCAGACACTCGTGCTCACAGCCAGTCTTTGACACCACAACCAGGGGCTGCGGTGCCTGTGGACATGACACCCTCCCGGCCTGCTCACCAGCCAAATGATGAAGTTTATGGCGAGCACGGTGGGCACGCCACCGAATGGCAGCCCTTCCAGGACGGTGCTGCGGGAGCGGGCACTGAAGCATTGCTCCTCCGTGCTGTTCACCAGGGTGTCCAGGAAGCTGAGCACATCCAGAGAGGTGCGGACAGCACCGTCCGGTGCTGGGTCCACAGAGTACACACTCTCCATTGGTGCCGTCACGGGACCTCACCCTGAAACACAGGGGCAGGAGTGCAGATGGAAAAGCCTTTACTTGAAAACAGGCCGTGGCCCCTCCAGATCCTCAAGCAAGGTCTGAGGAGCTTGCTAAGGGCTGGGAGGGGAGGGGGCTGGATGGTGACCCTGGAGCTTCCCCAGTCCCAGCCTCTCCCAGGGAGGAGATGCAGGACACAGGGCAGGGGGTGTTGCTGAAGAAATCTCACAGCTACCTTGGCCCCCTTCCCCACCCCATTAAGCCCCATGCTCTTTGGTTGTCTCCGTCGCACCCAAGACAGGTCTCTCACCACCTCTGCCCCTCAGTCCTGGAAGCTGGGTTGAGTCATGGCCATCCTGGTGCAGTCAGCAGGTAGGAACGAGGAGCCGAAGCATTTGCTTGAGTTTCTGAGAATAAGAGCAACGATGATGTTAACAACAGGGCTGCTGGGGCTGTGCTTACTTCACTCCCCACAGACAGATATCTACTGCGTGTGGAACATCCCCAAGCTCTCCCTTCTCCCCCAGCATCATGGTCTGTGTGACTCAGGAGTCATTGGACCTCCCTTTCATCTTTCTGACAGAGCAGGATTGCTCCTTCCAAGATATCCTGAAGTCTTCAGAAGAATCAGCTTATCAAAACTCTAAAGACAATGTTCTCCCCACTTCCCCAGGAGCTGATACCACAGGCTACAGACCTCACTGGTAGGAAACACTTGAAGGCCATTAATGGCCAAGACTGCAGTTTGTTTCCAAAACCTCTCCTATTGCTATACTTTAAGAAGGAGAGGATCCTCTCCAAACCTGCAGTGCCTGAGACCCCTGTGAGCAAGCACCCTACAGCAGCCAGCATGAGCCAGCATGGCTGTCGCTCATGGGGACGCCACGGATCTGTGGTCAGGACAGTGCTGCATGACCATTGCACTCACTAGAGCTACAGGAGGAGAAGGAACCAGCACAGAAAACACTAACAAAGACAGGGTGGCAGCAACAGGGCCAGAGTATCCCCTCCTCACGTGCCTGCCGTGTCTCTATGCCTTGGAGATGCTGCCAGCACCTTCAGCTCCCTGGGCTGGGCCTTCAATGGAGGACAGCACTGACTGTGGTGAGACCAACCACACCCCTGGGGCAAGAGCCACCCTGGGACAGTGGGGGGTTTCCAGGGTGTCCTTTACACAGGTCATGGCAGCCGGGCTGGGTCCCTAACATATCTTCCGAAAAGGCCCCGAGGGAGGATGTCTAGTACTTTATAGGTAGATAAACCCAGAGGGCTGAAGACCCTGCTTAGGGGAAGGCTGAGGTTACTGGGGTGGAGGGGAACAGATGGACAAGAAAACTTTGTCTTTGGAGGCCCTGAGCAACCAAACGTAATTTCGAAGTTGTCCTGGTCCTGAGCATGGGCTTTTATCAGCTGACCTCCAACCTCAGTTATTCTACATCCCTATCCTCAGGGACTTGTGCTGCTGAGACAAGAACATCTTCCGGGCTGCCTGAAATTTATAAGGAGTTACATGAGCGCCTTGCCCCACAGACATGCTGAGCACACAATAGTGTGGCAAAGTATATTGTGCAAAGGCCACGTGAAACCCCATCATGCCCAGTAACATGTACTCCTGCAAGCTTTGTATTTAACCTGTTGAGCATTCATTCATCTCCTTCCTTTTTATCTATATTCCAGCCACAACTGCGACCTTGCTGCAGTCCCTGCAGTTACCCAGCCCCAGCTGATGCCTGCTGCAGGATGCTCACAGCCCACACGGACAGAACAGAGGAAGAGGAGCAGAAGCCACTGTCTGATTAAGTAACAGAGGAGGATGCAAACAAAGACAGTCAGCACCTCCAGGGACCTGAAGATGCAAAGTATTTATAGTGGTTTCTTCCCCACCAAGACTGAACAGGATCAACTCTTCTTCAACACCAAAGGAAACCTATCTGAGAGGTCCTTGGGGAGCACAGAGAGAGCACGCACAAAATGCCTCAGCTTAGAAATGGGATCTTCCTGAGCTCTACCAGGATTTGCTTTTGTTGGGAAACATTTACTTCTGCTGTGTCAGTGTGACAGATGGGAGACTACAGCAGCACGTGGCTTCATGTGCATTGCTGTAGCCTCAGCCTCTCTTAGACCACGCAGCTTCCTGCTTGAGGAGATTAGTCCTGTCCTAAAGCTTCTGCGGAGCCCAGACACCCACACTCTGCGGCTGAGCACAGCGGGTAGGAAGAAGGTGCTGGGGCACAAGCTAACACAGATTACGCGCCTGAGACACTGACTCTCTGTGACCACCTCATCTGGGGAAAGGAAAGACCGAGGAAGAGGGAGGCTTTCACATACATCGCTGACCAAAAAAAAAAAGAAGGTAGTCTTGGTGCCTGCAGTTTCCAAACTAAACACAGAGAGGTGGTGACTTGCTATTTTCTTCACTTCTCAAGCCTAAATTCCAGCCCAAAGAAAAATCTCCACTGGAAGCCAAAGACTGACTGGGATGCTTGGACCAAGGCTATGAGCCCAGCAGAGCCTGAGGCTCACTCCACTCCGGGGCTAGGCTGTCATCTGGTTACTTGCATATATGCCTCGAATGGATGTCTGAAGCCACTGAACTACAGCCATCAAAATCCCCAGGACATGCAGACCCACTGCAGTCCCTCTTACTGTGCATTATGTGCACAGTGTCACCTGGGGCATGGGCTTCAGCATCTGCTACGTATCTGCCCATGCTCCTCCCTACAGCATCTTCAGTTCTCTTTGGAGATCCCTAGCCATATATGTACTGATCTGGCCAGTCCATGGTATTTGGAGACATCATAGCCCAAGCTGGGATGGTTGACCATTAGTGTGGCTCCCAAAAGGACCACCAGGTCACCTGAGATATGCTGATACTGCTTCAAAGAGCATCCCAGCAGACGGGACTGAAGTACCATCCCCGCAGCCCTGCGGCCAGGCGCGAAGTGAGGGATGGGCTGGCAAAGCCACCCTGTAGCACCCTCAGCCACGGCCTGCCTCCCAGCCGGGGTTGGGAGTCCCGTACTTTGAGGCCCAGTGTGGCCCCATAGGGATAACAACCTCTGAAGAGGGAACTCCAGCAAGGGGAGACCCATTGGAAATGAGTGGGCCACTGTGACAAGTGGCAGCCATTTGTCCCAGCCCGCCTGCCTCCCGCTTGCCGTCTGGTGGCTGTGAAACTACCGGGGCCACCGAGGCCTCCCGTCGGGGCCCACCTTTTCCTGACGAGATTGTTT